TCACTGATGGTATGGGGTTGCATGAGGGCTTGTGGCATGTGCAGCTTTCATGTCTGGAAAGGCACCATTAATGCAGAGAATTATGTTCAGGTTCTAGAACAACATATGCTCCCATCTAGACGTCATCTCTTTCAGGGAAGACCCTGCATTTTTCAACACGATAATGCCAGACCACATTCTGCAGCAATCACAACATCATGGCTACGTAGGAGAAGGATCCGGGTACTGAAATGGCCAGCCTGCAGTCCAGATCTTTCACCTATAGAGAACATTTCGTGCATCATAAAGAGGAAGGTGCGACATAGAAGGCTCAAGACAATTGAACAGTTAAAGGCCTGTATTAGACATGAATGGGAGAGCATTCCTATTTCTAAACTTGAGAAACTGGTCTCCTCTGTCCCCAGATGTCTGTTGAGTGTTGTAAGAAGAAGGGGGGATGCCACACAGTGGTAAAAATGGACTTGTCCCAACTTTTTTGGGATTTGTTGATGCCATGAAATTTGGAAACAACAGATTTTTCCCTTAAAATGATACATTATCTCAGTTTAAACTTTTGATCTGTGATTTGTATTCTATTCTGAATAAAATATTAGATGTTGGCACCTCCACATCATTGCATTCAGTTTTTATTCACAATTTGTTTAGTGTCCCAAATTTTTTGGAATCTGGTTTGTAAGTCGGACCCCTTGAGGGTGGGAGTTGGACTCCACTAGGGCTGCTCATTGTCACCGATTCTGTTCATAACTTTCATGGACAGAATTTCTCTGTGCAGTCAGGGGATGGAGGGTTTTCAGTTCGGTGGCCTCAGGATTCCATCTCTGCTCTTTGCAGATGATGTGGTCCTGTTGGCATCATCATGCTGTGACCTTCAGCTCTCACTGGATCGGTTCGCAGCTTAGGGTGAAACGGCTGGGATGAGAATTGGCACCTCCAAATCTGAGGCCATGGTCCTCAACCGGAAAAGTGTGGATTGCTCTCTTCAGGTTGAGGGTGAGGTTCTGCCTCAAGTGTAGGAGTTCAAGTATCTCGGGGTTTTGTGCATCAAGTATCTCGGGGTTTTGTGCATGGGTGAGGAAAGAATGGAGCATGAGATTGACAGACGGATTGGTGCAGCATCTGCAGTATTGCAGACTCTGTACCAGTCCATTGTGGTGAAGAGAGAGCTGAGCTGTAAGGCAAAGCTCTCTGTTTACCAGTCAGTCTATGTTCCTACTCTCACCTATGGTCATGAGCTCTGGGTAGTGACTGAAAGAATGAGATTGTGGATACAGGTGGTTGAAATGGGTTTCCTCCGCAGGGTAACTAGACTCGCCCTTACAGAGAGGGTGAGAAGTTCAGTTATCTGGGAGAGACTCAGAGTAGAACTGCTACTTCTCCACATCAAGAGGAGTCAGTTGAGGTGGTTCGGGCATCTGGTAAGAATGCCCCCTGGGCGCCTCCCTAGGGAGGTGTTTCAGGCATGTCCGACTGGGAGAAGGCCCTGGGGAAGCTCCAGGACATGCTGGAGAGACTATGTCTCTCGGTTGACTTGGGAAAGCTTTGGAATCCTCCCAGAGGAGCTAGAAGAGGTGACTGTGGAAAGAGATGTCTGGGCCTCCCTGCTCAAGCTGCTGTCTCCGCAACCTGACTAAGAAACAAGCGGTAGATAATGGATGGATGGATGAAGGTCAGGTTTATTAGTTGACAGATTGCACAGACATTAATTAATTTGCAAGTTGAAGCTACTTTAGTTGATAAATCCCATTTATCCTGATGCATGCTCAATAATCCAGGTAGAAAAATCTAAAAAAGTTAAATCTGGTCCTCTGGACATTCAAAAAACAAAACAAAGCCAAACAAAAAAATGTAGAAACGTTTCATCTTTCATCTGAGAGACTTCCTCAGTCTGAGGTGCTGTATTCAGCTCAGTCTTATAAATAGCACCTTCTCAGAGTGGATCGACCAGTTTGCTGCTGACAACAAAAACCAGCTGCTCACATGATCAAGAAGGACCATCAGCCTAACGATGGATCATTAGCACACTGATGGATGTTTACTATTCACAGGGGGTTGAGTGATACTAGCAATAACAGCATTGTAGGAGGGCTGTACAATGGGCTGGGGAGAGGGAAGTCTGGGTCTCTCTACTTAAGCTGCTACCCCTGCAACCCGACCCCGGATAAGCGGAAGAAAATGGATGGATGGATGGATGGATTGGTAGATGTATACCATAACTACCAAACAAATGGGATTTATCTAAAAAAGTTAAATCTGGTCCTCTGGACATTCAAAAAAAACAAAACAAAGCAAATCAACAAAAAAATGTAGAAACGTTTCGTCTCTCATCCGAGAGACTTCCTCACTAGCGTCCCCACTAGCTCAGGAGCCAGGCAGAAGGAGAAATCCCACAC